TTATCAATGCTAGAGTTTTTTATTAGAGAAATGTCGGCTTGCGTGTCGAATAAAAACGTACAAAATTTATTTGACCCGTTAATTTTCAATTCGATAAAGTCAGAGTAATTCAAATTTAAGCAATAAATGTCCTTTGTCGACAAAGAATCATCTAATTGTCCAATTCTTCCGCCCTCAGTGTTCGCTTCTGAGGGGCGTGGGCGTTTAAAGCGCGCACATTAGCATTATTGCGTGAATTTAGACGTCTACTACTATTATTGTTGCTGTTACTGTTTCGATTGTTATTGTTTGATGACCGATTACTATTATTGTTGAAATGGTTGCCGTTATGCCTTGAACCGTTATTGCTGTACCTACTGTTATTAGCGTTATTATTGTACCTATTGAAGTTAGAGTTGTTTTGTCTGAAATTGTTATTCTTGTACCTATTAAAATTGTGACCTCTGAAGCTACCTCTAAAAATATTTGGCCTATTTACTCGGGATCGAAACGCTAACACTTGACGCTCTTTCACTTGATTATTTTGTTCGACTATCATTTTTGCCACTACGTCTTTTGAATCACTGAAGGTAGTTGACGATAAAATTGATTTGACCAAATCCGACCGAGTATTAAGTCTACAAACGTTAACTGTTTGCTCGACTGCCATTTCATGGGCCTTAGATTGTGTCATGCCTTGAATGATCACAGAACGCTCTAATGCATCCGAAAGCTCCTCGACACGCTTAGCAAATTCCGTNATGTAAAGTATGTTTAATGTAAAAATCAGTAAAAGTCAAGTTTACGGTAATCGTACCTAAAGTAGAAACAGTATTAGAAGTGACAGCGGTAATGTTAATTATATCGTTTGTATTTATAGGGAAATGTTTATCAATGCTAGAGTTTTTTATTAGAGAAATGTCGGCTTGCGTGTCGAATAAAAACGTACAAAATTTATTTGACCCGTTAATTTTCAATTCGATAAAGTCAGAGTAATTCAAATTTAAGCAATAAATGTCCTTTGTCGACAAAGAATCATCTAATTGTCCAATTCTTCCGCCCTCAGTGTTCGCTTCTGAGGGGCGTGGGCGTTTAAAGCGCGCACATTAGCATTATTGCGTGAATTTAGACGTCTACTACTATTATTGTTGCTGTTACTGTTTCGATTGTTATTGTTTGATGACCGATTACTATTATTGTTGAAATGGTTGCCGTTATGCCTTGAACCGTTATTGCTGTACCTACTGTTATTAGCGTTATTATTGTACCTATTGAAGTTAGAGTTGTTTTGTCTGAAATTGTTATTCTTGTACCTATTAAAATTGTGACCTCTGAAGCTACCTCTAAAAATATTTGGCCTATTTACTCGGGATCGAAACGCTAACACTTGACGCTCTTTCACTTGATTATTTTGTTCGACTATCATTTTTGCCACTACGTCTTTTGAATCACTGAAGGTAGTTGACGATAAAATTGATTTGACCAAATCCGACCGAGTATTAAGTCTACAAACGTTAACTGTTTGCTCGACTGCCATTTCATGGGCCTTAGATTGTGTCATGCCTTGAATGATCACAGAACGCTCTAATGCATCCGAAAGCTCCTCGACACGCTTAGCAAATTCCGTATAATTGTTATTTGTGACATGTAAAGATGCAATTTTCCCAGCTACAACTTTCGAGTTGTCTGGTTTTATTCTGTTTCTCAACGCATCTTTTATTTGTCTAACAGAGTTAACTTCGGTTGGAATTGCTTCACGTGCTTTGCCTTCGAGCTTCGATTTCAAAAATGATATAAAAGTTGTATTTAAATTTTCGTCTGCAAAATCTTCAATTAAATTAATTGTATCGATAAACGATATAAGTGCTAGCGGATCGCCGTTGTAATTTTCCCTAATTATTGAGGCACAAAGACTAATAAAGGATTTTTTCTGTTCAGTGGTAGCATGTCTAGAAATTCTTGAAAAAATGTAGAAATATTTGGTGAACTGGTAGATGTTGACGGCTCGTCGGATACAGTTAGCAGATCTTTAAATGATGGAAGTGAAGTACTTCTTTTAAGACTGAATTGTACCGAAGCTTCTGACTTGGCGTCAATAAACTCTTCTTTTGACTCAGAGTCAGCTAGGTCTGATTGGCAAATTAGCGATAAGCTATCAGGTGGAATTCTAACACGACAATTCAGTTTAATAAAGCACTTTGCTAACTGTTCCTTGCAGCGGGCTAATTTACCCTGCACTTCCTTGAGATCACGGGTATGAGCCGAACTATTGCCAATAACTAGCAGTAAAATATTATTGTAAGCTGTAATGAGCGAGTATTTGTATTCGTTTAATTTTTTCGCATTCGTAGACAACGGTCTATTTTGTAAAATGCGCTTAGTAATTTTATCAAAATCTGCTTTATATGCTTTAAATTGTTTGTCGAATTCGCTCATAACCGGCTAATCTCAAAGAAGTGGATTACGCAACAAGCTATCACTCATTGTAGAAATTACTTATTTTTTTCTCAGTAGGTCATCGGCTGAAAATCGGCATGCAAAGAGGGGGTATAGCCATGCAACAGGAGTGGGGTTTTTATCATGCAAATCCACATGCAATAGAAAAGAATTTAATTTGATTTAAATTTTGTTATTTTATTTAAATATTTATCGTTTGATTTTAAGAAAAGCAGTTTTTCCACCAGTACACAAGTATATGGCAAAATCTTTTGTGAATTTATGTACTCCGAATTTTTACAGCATTTGTGGCTTTTAAATGGAATTTGGTTATATTATCCTCGTAGTTTTAACTACTGAGTGCAAAAATTTGTATTTAATTAGTTAAAAAATCATTTAAAATAATATGCAATAATATTGGAAAAGTGAAATTGCGGTCTGGTCCGCGAGACTTATAGCTAAAATTGAAATATTTAAAAAAATAGTAATATGTATATATTTATTAAATGGGTTGATAAGTGGAAAACTTTAGGCAATTATGCCGAATTAATATTCAAAATGTTCTATAGTCGAAAATTTTTGTAATTTATAAATATTGGAAATAGAAAATCACTAGTAAAAAGTACTATGTATGATACTTAGCTAAGCAGGTTGCTAAATGGATCAAAACGTCACTTAGATCTAATTACGAAAATGTATGAAAAGTATGAATCATTTAAATGGATCAAAACGTCACTTAAATGTAATAATCAGAATGTATGAAAAGTATGAATCATTTAAATGGATCAAGACGTCACTTAAAGCTATTAATCAGAATGTATGAAAAGTATGAATCATTTAAATGGATCAAAACGGCAGTTAAATCTAATAATCAGAATGTATGAAAAGTATGAATCATTTATTATTTGAATGTATAAACAGTATGAATCAGTATGCGCAAGGATTAAAAAAGAATTCAAAGAATCCCCCACGTCACCTATGTTAATTTGAAAAATGGTTTAAGACGAAAAATTGATTGAATCACTTACAAACTACTACAAAGGTATTCAAAATATATTTTATGAGAAGAGGGTTATTCAATAGCTCGTTTACTTTCCCAGAAATTCAAGTTTCCCTTTTTTTGTTACGTTTTAGCAAAATAACAATTTTTTTGCACTTTTTTTTTGTTTTAAATTTTCGAAACTGCACTAGTGTGCATACTAATGTCAAAAAGTGAAAATGTATGAAAGTGATTACATATTTAAGAAAAATGTATATAAGTGTTCAAATATATAAACTTAAAATATTCAGCCTTACTCCTTGCTGGACTGTACTCGAAATTCTGTCGTTGGTATCCCACGCCGCTGTCTCAAATGTTGTCGTTGTTGGTTGTTGTCCTATCATGTGTCTTGTGGTCTTTGTGGTTTGCGTTGACTAGCGGGTGAAATCGTGTGCTCTTTGGTTAATGCACGACTGTATTTTGGTGTGTTCACCGTTACGTGAGTGGCGTGGTTTCGTATATGTGGCGGTTTATAACGGCGCTGTACCGTTTTTATCTGGCGTCAGTCGCCGTTATATAAACGTGTATCGGTGTGTGGTGCCGCTGCTGCTGTTGTTGGTGTATCCCACGCTGTATCCCACGCAGTTGGTAACGCTACAGCGTGCCGTTTTACGCACCGTTACGTGCGGCGTTATGCGCGTTATTAGGTACTGCTGTCGTTGGTGGTGGCAGGGCTCCCCGTTATGCACAAAAATGCACGGGACGAAAAGGCAGCGCGGCTTTGCGTGTGCCGCTATACGGGCAACGTTGTACAGCACCCCGTTATTGCCTACAGCAATAAAACTTTGTGCACCTACTTCAGCACTGAGACGCACGAGACAATTGTTATTAGTCACGCCTGCCGTCCAGGGTGCCAAAAAATTGCTTTCATTTTGGTGCATATGTGTCCTGTCACGGTCGCCATTTCGTGCCGTTTTACCCTTAGCACCTGTTACCAACACTATATGCCCCTAACGCCTCTTATGTCTGGGCCAGAAATCCGCTACTGGTGTCGGCGGAGTCTTTACGTACAAGGAAAGGGTATTCCTGGTGCTCGAGTGTACCTTACTCCCCGGATGAAGCCTTAGTTAGTTGCGGCCGCTGCTGCTGTTGTTTCACGTAAATCGCCTCCTCTGGCGAAAATCAGTAGCCTCGTGGCTGTTAGCTGTGGGTCAGCGTTATATAAATTCAATTGAGTTAATTTACACTCGTGCAACTACTTTCGCTTGTAAAACTTGCAAAAACGACTTCAATTTCTTTAAGTTAAATTTAATTATATTTTATTTCCGTTTTTCGTTGCGTGATACAACCTTACCAAATTAATGTCTATATCGGAATGGCTCTTCATTCGTTTTTTCACTCGGGTTATGTACCTGTGGAACGTATGTTCCATCAGGGCTACCAACATTACGACAGCGCTGAATAGTGCTGCCGTATTGTTAGCGATGCCATTACATACTTTTATATAATCCACAAGATAAGTGTGGCGAGAATGCTTTCCTGGAAAAGTTATTTAACTTGTATTCACCTGGGAGTGGACCAAACGTTTCACGCCTTCAAAAATTTCCGGCTGTGCCCAGTAAAATTTCTATACGGGGCAAGATTGCAACGCTAGAACTTAGACGCCGTACTTGCTGGCCCCGCAATCTGAAATATATTTTGAAATAAATAATACAATCATTTATAAGTTTAAACAAATGCTATCATACATACCAGCGGCTCTAAAGATTGGCTCTCCAATTTATTTGATTGTTTCCTGGTTTTCATTTTTCAATAATACATATGTAAGTATGAATGTACACATCAGTTATCTGTGTTGCTTTCTTCATACTACATTTTCCAAAAACACAAAATTATTTTGAAGAAGGTGCGTATAGCTATCCTATCAATCAAAAAGAATACTCCTGGATTGCTCGCTTAGGAGACATCGATTTTTGCTCCTAAGCGAGTAATAACGGAGTACAAAACCAACAAATCTCGCTTATACCTCCGAAATCATGTCTCCGGGAGGATACTTTTGTTAGTCACTTGGGAGATCTCGCATTATACTCCTAAGTGAGTTATACAGGAGTGCAAAATCGACAAATCTCGCTTATTGCTCCCAAATCATGTCTCAGGGAGCATTATTTAATTGCTCGCTTAGGAGATGTCCCTATTGACTCCTAAACAAGTAATAAAGGAGTAAAAAGTCTACAAATCTCTCGAATTGCTCCAAAATCAGATCAAAACTAAATAAACTATATTGTACGTTACTATTTCGTTTCGTTTATAACTTCAACAGTTCGGTACAATACGAAAACAAAACGGCTGAGTTCACTTTGGCGATAGTACACTACAGTAGCTTAGTAGTTACAGTCGAAACAACTAACGAAATGAATCGTGCAGAGAAAAATTTATGTATGTATGTACACATATGCAATAACTAAATACAAAACGAGTGGCTGCAATGAATATAAAAAATAAAACTGTTTTTTAATTGAATTGGATATGAAAATTTACAGAAAAAACTATTTTTTACGTAATTGAAACGTTTGCATACCTATAAAACGTACCCTATGGTACAATTGTCGCAAACGAAAAGCAACCGTTTCTCGTTGGGGAAAATGACAGTGAATCTTACAATTTGTTTCTGACGTATGTACAAAATTGTATAGAACCACAAATGATATGATGATCGATGAGCAAATGGGAATTGTTTTGTACAGTTTATTTTCGTACTCTGCTCATGGGAGATCTCCATTCAAGTTCTAGTGGGTCGAGACTGAAAGTGAGAATGTACATGTGTGTGAGATTGAAATTTTGAAAAAAATTTTGTTATGCTAGCCAATTTTAAAAATATTCAGGTTGTCTCTCAGTGGTTTTACCTTAAAATTTTCGTACCATAGCATGCATGGTGGCGCCGAATGAGCTATATGGTTTAAATGGTTTATAACTTTTATTTATGCGGTTATTATAATTTTTTTTTTAAATACAGTATATTATTGGGGAATTTTTCGCAATTAGCTTTGAAAAATGATATCCTGTAAGTGATGTCCATTTTCTGCTTCGCACATACGTGCTCTTTTTAGCATATTTTCCATAACTTCGCAGAATTTCGGGTGTAATGGCCATGATTTCATTTCGAATGTTGGTTTGGAGTCGGAGAATGGTTCTTGGTTTGTTAACGTACACTCTTTCTTTCCAATATCCCCAAAGAAAACTGTTAAAAAGAATTCAAACCATATAGCTCATTCGGCGCCACCCAGTATTATAACCAAAAATTTTAGGGTTTTTGGCCGAAATTACGATTTTTTCAAGGTAAAATGACGATTTTTTAGCAAAAGCATTCGGCGACGCTGCTGGCAGGTCATTTCCAGGCGTCGATCCCGTTGGCATAGAGTAAAAAAAAAACTGTTATAAAGAATTGAAACCATATAGCTCATTCGGCGCCACCCAGTACAATTATTACAGGTATTGTCTTCCCAGAGAGTTTTGCTTCACATCGAAATTCGTGCTCCCTTATTTTAATTTTGACGCATTCAATGTTGATTCTTTTACATTTAGTTGGCTTTGCTTTTGGTTTTCGCTCAATTTATTTTATATAATTTTTCTTAACAAAAGGAATTTGCAAATTAAATAAGTTCTATGCAAGAAGGTTTGTTCAAAAAAACACGTGGACATGTATGGTGTACAGAAATATCCCTTTTCCCTTACAGTAAACCGTTTAGTGTGGGCAACAATGATATTTTTCAAATAAGGCAGGTCAGAATATGCGCTCTCTGGGAAGACAATGGCTGTAATTATTGTACCATGCCATGCCAATTTGACGTCAAACCTACCAAAGTCAAAGCTTTCGGGAGAGTAAAAATAAAAATGAGCGTGTGTAAGGAAAAATAAAAAATTACATTTCACTGGTTGACGTTCTTGAGTAAATTTGAAGTTTAGATAAAATTTGTTAACATGTATGTTGTTTTCTGATTTTGATTTGTGAGTTGCAGTGTTATTGGAAGGACTTTTCGGCATAAGGGTCATAGGAACAGGGTCACATAGTCAAACGTGCCTTTCCTGTACCTCCCGGTGTATTTGTGAAATCTGCTCCTTTAAAATGTTTCACGCAGAGCAAGGCATTTCGCTGCAGCTCTGCCTCATAGCTGCTTTCGCAACGCTCCTTACGCGAAGGACATTGAGGCACGTTAAAAAAATTAGTTGTACCTGCTTTAAATTTAACACCACATAAAAACAACGCTTCAGGTGTTGCATTTTTAACACATATACTAAGTATAAACCGCACAACACTACAAAAATTCAAATATTAATTAAAATTTGTTATTAACGAACATTCAAAATAAAACAACGATATGATATTGAAAGCGTAACGAAATATAGGAAATAAAAGGAAAACAAGTTGAAGTTTAAAGGTTTGGTACTCATGAGAGCAACGTCATTCTGGCTTGTACATGGATTTATGTGCCTTGATGCATGGTACAATTATTACAGGTATTTCTTCCCAGAGAGTTTTGCTTCACATCGAAATTCGTGCTCCCTTTTTCTAATTTTGACGCATTTCAATGTTGATTCTTTTACTTTTAGTTGGCTTTGCTTTCGGTTTATGCTCAATTTAATTTTTATAATTTATCAAAACAAAAGAAAAAACGTTCGAAATAAAGTTAGCAATCATGATACAAATATTTAAAGGTAGTTTCACTTCTTCTTAGCCGCCATTGCTCCCATTTGACATAAACTTTGCTTTTGGCAGTTTCTTTTGAAGTCGAGCTACCAAATTATTTGACAAAAGTAAAAAAGTGATTGATTACTTAAAAAAAATATATATAATATAAAATCAACCAACACCAACACACAAAATATAATAAGTTACGGACGTTCAGTCCGTATAAGTCAAAAAAATTAATTGGGCCAGCCGCCCAAAAGGAAACACAAACTGGTTAAGAATTCACTTAGGTTTTATTAACACTTAACTTCTTACGACTAAGTCTAACACTAATCGTACTGTATGATAACCCGTCCCGAACTCGACTGATTGCACGTTGTGGCCGTTGCTTGCTTCCCACCTTCGTTCTCTAGCAGCGACGCAATGGTTGCGTAACATGTTTACAACCCATTTTCTGAGACTGGATTTGGCCTTGACTTCCCACGGGTGCATTATGGAATGCAGGTGGCAATGTCTCCCGTTACACTATATGGTGAAATTAAAATGTGCTGACACTGCGGCACGTGTAACGGCCAACCGTGGGAGCGTCGCAACAAATGCGACTGGTGCGTGTTAACTCTTCCCCCTCTAAAGATTTGCGTCCCGCAAATCAACGTTTTGGGAGGCGTCCTTCTTAAGTCGGTTTCGAGAACTCTGTTGCAGTATGGACAAATTCAGCTCAGGAAGTTTGGCTCCTGTCGTCAATTTTCTCCAAATCAGCAAAATTAGGATCATTAGCAAAATAAGTCCTAGACCTTCAGACGTCGCAAACCAGCTAGTTTTGTCCTTCAGGTAACCCAAAAGTCGTATGTTTCCAGACGTCATTTCATGGACGAGATCGAGGTTCACTGCCAGACGTTTATTCGTTATTGTAGACAACACGGATGGAAGCACTTGCACACCTGAGCTGCTTGTACTCCAGTAGGTTTGATTGTTGATCGTTATCGTCTCGTTCTCCAGCTGTAGAATATAGGAACCAGACAGGTGTTTAGATATTTTACCTGACCATACGCTGCTGTTGAAGTTCTCCAGGAATATTGTATCTTCCTTGAGTACTTCAACCGTTGTTTCCATGCAGGTTATGTAGCGACAACTTGTTTGGCCACCCTTGAGTAGACGTGGTAAGTACTCTTCTTCAGGCAGTAAATCTAGTGACCCCTGTTTGCAAACCATAGCGGTGGCGAGGTGTAGACAGCTATCCTTAATACCATACGTCTGTTGTTTGTTCATTAGGATTGTTTTGTACTTCAAGTCGACTCGATGACCATCCTTCAAAATTGATCGTGTGATTAAATGGTTGAACCATGTTTGCACCACTTTTGGCATCGACAGGACGTATAGTAGAAGAGTGCCGTTGGTGTAGATTGATGGCTCACTATATTCGATGGCTTCGATGACGTTGCTGTACGGAAGGACTTCGATTTCGCTTATTAGTTGATTTATTTCCTCTTTATTTAATAGGTTACTGTTGACAACTCCTGCTTTGGCCATTTGACATGCTTGAATCAACTCGTTAACGTCGTCGTTAAGGGTCGCTACCTTGTGCTCTATTTCCTGTGAAGCTTTAGCCAGGTTGTTGCGTCCCAAAATGGGATTCGTGGCAGTCGCGATTCCATTAACAGCCTGTAATAGCTCTTGAGTTTTCTTGAATATTTCAGAGTTTACCTTATATTGAAGGTTGTTATTGGTTACTGATGCGTCTTGGCTCCGCAGGACTTCATCCCAGTCTAAGGCGTCAGGTGTGCCAGCAATCCACTTCCAGGCTGGCACAATCCAATTGATTGAACGCTTGGGTCTTTTAGGCTTAGGGCCCTTCAGCTCGTCGAGTTGAGTTTGAGTTTTCTCCAACTGATAGGTGATGACGTCAGTGATAGCGTTGGTCTCGTTCATCCTAGAGGTTTCATAGCTTAGACGATTTAAAATTTTATCATAGCGCGTCAAGTCGATCATGTGGACCAGTTTGAAATGTCAGTAGGTTGAATACGACGTATGCTTGTACGGTTGCACAGAGGCAGATTCTATGAATTAGATTCGAAATTGTTAACTTAATCCTACTTTCACCTCCTAGATAGCTTAAAATTAACATCGTAAATAATTTTCTTTTCAGGAATTGAATTTAACTATCTTTCTTTAAATTACTTCGAAATTAAGTTTTTAAGTCAAATCGAATACAGAATGCTTTATAATTAATTATTTGGAATTTTTTTTTGAAGCGTGTATGCCGAAATTTTTAACAATTTAATGTAGTAATTATTTCTTAATTTCTAATACTATCTCTAGTGAGTGGAGCTCGGGAGGATAAGGGTTATCAGGAATTCAAGGGGACCCAGGTGTTAACGGTGGATTTTTTGACGATTAATTTGTTAGTATTTAATTATTAGGATTAGTATCATTAGTACGGGGTAGTAAGTTAGGCTAATAATTTTAATTTTAATATTTTTTTTTGCTTTTACTTTTTTTGCATTAGTTTCTAGTAAGGTAGTATTTTTTTCAACTTTTAAGCAGGTTACTGGTTATTTTTGTTTTTATGGAATGCTTTCCTTTTTTTTGCATTTGCATTTGCATTTGCATTATATTTGCATGTTATTTTATTCTTCGTAAATTTTTTTATTCTTTGGCGCATTTGCGCGAGATATATTCTCGTATACATTTGTTACTTTTGCTTACTTATTTAACAGAATGTGTATATATGGTTTCTTTGCATCGGACTATAGGTATTATTTGTCTATGGAAGGCCCGCGTTGGTCCCGTTTAGTCATAAGTGTTTATAATTGCAAATGACCTACTCATGGCACGGGTGGCTTCACGCAAATAAGCATAAGATTACCGTGGGGGAGTTGAACCACCTCGAATCTGCCATCTCACACCACTGAGCGAGGTGGAATTGAACCACTATGACTTCATCGACTACAAACGCATAAACGCTTGCATTCCGAACCGCCGCAATCTAGTAATCTTAAGCTTCTTATTAACCTTTTGTCTAATGTTATATTACACATTTTTTATATCTGTGTCGCATTTCCATTTTCTGCGATTGTTTCTTTTTTAAAAAGAGGCTTTTGTTTCCCCTTGATTTGTCTGTTTGCTATGAACAGAGTATCGCCACNAAATAATTTTCTTTTCAGGAATTGAATTTAACTTTCTTTCTTTAAATTACTTCGAAATTAAGTTTTTAAGTCAAATCGAATACAGAATGCTTTATAATTAATTATTTGGAATTTTTTTTTGAAGCGTGTATGCCGAAATTTTTAACAATTTAATGTAGTAATTATTTCTTAATTTCTAATACTATCTCTAGTGAGTGGAGCTCGGGAGGATAAGGGTTATCAGGAATTCAAGGGGACCCAGGTGTTAACGGTGGATTTTTTGACGATTAATTTGTTAGTATTTAATTATTAGGATTAGTATCATTAGTACGGGGTAGTAAGTTAGGCTAATAATTTTAATTTTAATATTTTTTTTTGCTTTTACTTTTTTTGCATTAGTTTCTAGTAAGGTAGTATTTTTTTCAACTTTTAAGCAGGTTACTGGTTATTTTTGTTTTTATGGAATGCTTTCCTTTTTTTTGCATTTGCATTTGCATTTGCATTATATTTGCATGTTATTTTATTCTTCGTAAATTTTTTTATTCTTTGGCGCATTTGCGCGAGATATATTCTCGTATACATTTGTTACTTTTGCTTACTTATTTAACAGAATGTGTATATATGGTTTCTTTGCATCGGACTATAGGTATTATTTGTCTATGGAAGGCCCGCGTTGGTCCCGTTTAGTCATAAGTGTTTATAATTGCAAATGACCTACTCATGGCACGGGTGGCTTCACGCAAATAAGCAGAAGATTACCGTGGGGGAGTTGAACCACCTCGAATCTGCCATCTCACACCACTGAGCGAGGTGGAATTGAACCACTATGACTTCATCGACTACAAACGCATAAACGCTTGCATTCCGAACCGCCGCAATCTAGTAATCTTAAGCTTCTTATTAACCTTTTGTCTAATGTTATATTACACATTTTTTATATCTGTGTCGCATTTCCATTTTCTGCGATTGTTTCTTTTTTAAAAAGAGGCTTTTGTTTCCCCTTGATTTGTCTGTTTGCTATGAACAGAGTATCGCCACTATTATATTCTTTGGGTGGCGAGCGTTTTGAATTGATCCTTGCATTTCTCACTTCTTGCTCATGTAGTAACAAAGCTTTGATATTCTCGTGCGTTTGATCCCTAAAGTCCCTTAAGCCTTGGTAGTTTACCCTAGCTGTTCTGTTAAAGAATATATGTGGCCACTCCGAATTATAAAACGTTCATACTGGCAGCATTTTCATGTGCACAGAAAGTGTCATCTCATTTTCTTTTGAGTTGACGTTTGCCTCTTCCGGTTGGGTGCTTGCGACTTCTTCCCTTTTTTCTTTGGACATCAAAACCGACTAGACGTAATTATCAATTAAGAGAATTTAACTGGTTATTATTGTAATTATACTCAAAGATAATACAAAGCAAAGAAAGTAAATTTGTGTAGTAAATAAATAAATTTGGTGACCCCGAAAAAAGGATGATGGGCACTGACGACGATGCTGCCAATCGCGACCCGAACAATGCAGCCATTAATACGGACGTAGTTAACGCTGGCTCGCACGTGGAGGCAACTTTTGCGATTCCTAAAATTAACCCACCGAGTATGGCTGATACTCACATTGAATCCTATTTCATGTCACTAGAGTTCTGGTTTGCGGCATCAGGGATTATAGCTGACTTAAAAAAATACAACATAGTAATGGCGCAAGTACCACCTGCTAAATTGTCAGAGCTGCAAAGCATTATTAGTGAATTACCGACACAAAATAAGTATGAATATGTTAAGGAGAAACTTATTAAGCATTTTGCAGAAAGTCAGCAGCGCCGCTTGCAAAAAGTCATCTCCGAGATGCCACTCGGCGACTTAAAGCCTAGCCAATTGTTCAGCAATATGAAACGAGTTGCTGGACAATCCTTAAGTGAAAATAGTTTAATAGATCTCTGGACAGCTCGACTCCCTGCCCAGGCACGAGCTGCAATCATAACGTCAGAGCAAAAAATACTAAGAAAAGTAAAAATCGCTGATGATATAGTGGAATCGCTCAACCTCGGCGATACATTTTAT